AACCATCTTATGTCTGCATCGTTAGTAACATTTTAGGTAAAACACTGATAGCTCAAACAATTATATGTTGATCCCTTATCACCTGTAATGTAAGAAATTTCAAGGTAGGAAACCAGACATGCATTTCTTCCCGGCAAACGTCCTACCGTAATCTAAGCCCACAATACATGATGGATTATCGATGTTGATTGGAATGACAGCTTTCCAGTGACGATAACCAGGGTAAGCTTCAGAATTAGTGAGAGCAGCGTCCTGGGTCCCTCCATCAGATCCTTGCATTAGTTCTAGAAGTGAAATTTTAGAAACACTTGAGCCAAAAGCAGGACGGTGACAGGTGCAGCTCCCACTCCGTTTCCACGTCTCACTGACGCAAGAGCTCATTTATACCAGTATTACTCCTGGATTTTATATTTGACGCGATGGCAGTAAGATTTCTCTCTTTACACAATTGTCGTAGTTTTCCCGCAACCTGGTCCAGACGTGGAAACCAGAAGCTCTCCAGTCTATTGATGTAGGATGGGGTATAATATACGACAGCCCATCAATTCGGTAGTAAAGCAGGAGAAAACTACCAATTTTTCTTGATGATTAGCATGCGAGATCTTCTCGGGAGACCAAAACTAGAGACTCCTCCCTGGCCAACGAATGGCCCAGTCCGAGAAATTATACAACAAAAAATTAGATAACTCAATGCCTCTGACCGCATCTGCCAGTTTCTTTGAGCCCCAGCCGAGATAAACCTTAAGTTATATTCTGTTAGTGGCATAGTAGCGTTAAAATTCCCTTGAGAATTTTTTTACAAGGCAAGGAATTTCACTCGTTAGTGTATAGTCAGCTGTAACGAAATGAAAGACAAGCTTACACCAAGATCCCGATGTTCACCGCAAAGCTTCGGAACCTGACTTGGTTGCTATCCATTGGTGCCCTTACTAAATTTAGTATTGTCTGCATCATTCGCTCAAGTAAAGTTACTTTCTTTCTGTCACAATTTGATACTGAGCCTGAAAGTACTCAATTTTTTTAAGGTATTCCATAAATGGCTTTATTAACTTGGTGAACACATAAGTGGTATAATTTACCCTAAACGGTTCAGCATTGTATTGGAAGAGCTGTCCCTTGAATATGAATATGAATCTGAAATATATTCTATAGCTTTCCCTAACGGATACCAAAATCCCTGCATATCCCAAATCCAGATTCGTTAAGAAAGTATCTCTACGGAGAAGTCTGATCCCAGTTCAATAGCCTAGACTCAAGTGTTATATCCCTATAAACAAACAGTCCTGAGGGAATCAAGGAATTAAACGTGTTGAATTGGGGGCAAGAAAGAGTTGGAAAGGTGCTGATTTTTAGTTAGCTCAACTTTTTTACTGATAGCACCGCAGCTGAGCAATTCATAGATAGACTAATGGGATTCAGCTATGGCAAAGTGCTAAACCAGTCGCCATCTGAATGGCAAGTGACCACTTGAGTAAAACTCAGGACTTTAGCGTCACTCCTAAAGCTCTGCCGTCGATGATGAATACGCGTTAATGTTCATGCTGATCTACACACCTCATCTGCAATAGTGGGTTGATGTTGTCAGTACGTTGTCTGGCCTTTTGGCCTTCAGTTGCTGCTCTGTTTATCCGATTTCTATTTAGAATTGACCTACTTGGACAGACCTACACCTAAGAGCAAGATATCACTGGAAGCCTTTGTCAGAGTACTCCTGAGTTCTTTGCTATAATGTGAATATTTGACAGCATGCACTCCTCTCCCTTCTTTGAACCTAGAGGATAGAGTATTGCCACTTGCAGTTAATGCAGCTCACATGTTGCTGTACAAAGTCCAAGCACGCGTACCTGCTTGCGACAATTTCTATTATGGCTTCCGTTACGTCAGGGTTCACCTTAGGTGGCTAGAATAGAACTGAATTTATTCATCTATGGTCATCAGCAAGATCTGCCCTCGAAATGTCAGCCTTGGAACAACACGCGAACATTAATTATACTAAGGTCGCCGCATCATCGTGGTGATGCGACATCTATTGAAGCAGACTACAGAGCCTTTAAGACAACACAATCCAGAGCGCCCTGCTGTTCGAGTGCCACCTATGCAAAATGTAACGTTAATCGGGCACAATGATATTTAACTTCCGTTATTACTGAACATTAGAACTTTGGTGGTTTCCTAACCGGACATGTTCATACGTACAGTCCTGCTCCATGGTTATCACCAGCCATGTGGAATTTGCCATCGCAAGCAAAATGTAACGCTAGTCTACCCTAGATGTACCTAATTTCTATATGTTGTTAATGAAAAATAGTACTTCAGCTGTTTCGTAACCTGTGATGTGCATATTATTGACCTGCTCGATGGCTATTCCAAACCATACGGAATTTGCTATCACAAGCAAAATAAAACGCTAGTCTACCATAGATGTTCCTAATTTCTATATGCTGTTAATGAAAAGTAGTACTTCAGCTGTTTCGTAACCTATCATGTGCATATTATTGACCTGTTCGATGGCTATTCCAAGCCATAAGGAATTTGCTATCACAAGCAAAATGAAACGCTAGTCTCGGATAGATAAAACCTAATCTCTATATGTTATTAACAAAAATGATACGTCAGTGGTTTCCTAAACTGTCATGTGCATTCTGACAAAGTTATTCCAAGGTTATCACAAACCAAATGAAATTTGCTATCACAGGCAAAATGTAACGCTAACTTGGCATAAAGTGCCTATTCTTTATCTGGTGATAAGAAAAAGATATACATTGGCGGCTTCCTAACCTGACATGTTCATACTTACATACCTGTTCCACGGTTATTACAAACCACGTGGAATTTGCTATCACAAGCAAAATGTAACGCTAGTCTCGCATAGATGTAGCTAGTCTCTGTCGTTCATTAATGAAAAATGGTACTTCGGCTTCTTCCTAACTTCTCATGTGCATCCTTACAATATTGTTCCATAGTTATCACAAACCAGATGGAATTTGCTATCCCAAGCAAAATGTACCGCTAGTCTCACATAGATGTGCCCAATTTTTATTTGTTATAAATGAAAAATATTGCTATTACAAACCAGATGGGATTTGCTATCTCAAACAAAATGTAACACTAGTCTCGCATATATGAACCTAATATCTATTTGTTATTAATGAAAAATGGAACTTCGGCAGTTTCCTAAACTGTCTTGTGCATTCTTATTATGCTATTCCAGGGTTATCACAAACGAGATGGAATTTGCCATCCCAAGCAAAATGTAACGCTAAGGAAAAAATATATCTTAACAACTTCCTAGCCTGCCATGTTCAAACTTACAGTCCTGTTCCATGGTTATCACAAGCAAAAGAGAAAATATTGTTGACCATACCTTGTTGCCACGTTGACCCAAACGCTTTCTGTGTTGTTATTTGCGCAACGAAGCTCAGTATTGAGTCATTTTTCCAGACATCTTCATTCGTCCTTGGTGTGGACTATCACAAGCTAGGTCCATGTTGCTATCCCAAGCAACCGAGTCTAATGCTTCCACGTTATCCCAAACATCTTCGTTCGTCCTTGGTGTCGAGCTGACTATCCCAAGCCGGGTCCACGTTGCTATCCCAAGCAACCGAGTCCAATGTTTCAGCGTTGTCCCAAACGTCTTTGTCCGTCCTAGGTATGAAGCTGGCTATCACAAGCTAGGTCCAGGTTGCTATCCCAAGCAACAGTGTCAGAACGTTATCCCAAACGTCATGCTAGTCACAATTTGCAGCGCCGGTGAAGCATCCATACTAATCTTCATTTAACTTGCACCTAAAACAGATCGGTTAGTTGACAGTTACCTGATGGTGACGCCTCTTCAGAAAAAGAGGCCTGTACGCCGCTTTCTAATTTTGATCGGCGACGAAAGCAATCTTCAGGCGGCCGGCGGTCGGTATCTTGTACACATCTATCGACCAACCTTCTCTCCTGTTTTCCAATTTTAAATGTTCAGCGGATCCTCCACTCTGCACTGCATGTAAACGAGGCACGCCGATTAACGTCTTGACGGTCGGGCACGAGAACAAGGAATGATGGTTTAAAGGCGGCCAGAGGGGAGAAAGGTAGGGGGAAGGGTTGGTTACTACTACGAGGTTACTACGATATGTATTCTAAATATTTACTTCGACGAGGACGGAACATAATTACAGGTAATGATTACATTCAACAGAAACAGAAGGAATATTTTTCAAAATTTTTCTTTTAAAGCAAAAGTAATTATCTATAACGATAGATAGTTATTCACGAATAACAGAATTATTGCATACACAACTAAATCAGTAAACACTATAATCGGTTATAAAGGGTAAAAAGTCAGTATCTGTGTCATACAGAGAATAACAACAGTATAGTTTGTAAGCTACTGCTTTTTTACTTTGATTAATTGATTTAGATATATACTATTTGAGAAAGTGAAAAAACAAATAACGTGATCAATAACATATTTTGTAATTGTTGTAGTCATTAAAGAAATTTATTGAAGTCACAATTTGGAAAAGCCTGTAAGTGATCTTGACTGCCTTTTACCTAAGTACGTAACATATATGTTTCTTGCAATTTGACAATTTTTTCTAGTTTGGATCACTGTTGTCAAGAAATATCTCATTCGAGTGTCCTTCCACAACAAAGCAGAGTATAGGAGTATGATATACTTTTGGCAGGAACGTATTTCGAATTACTACAGCCGACAGAAGGAAGCTGCGATAAATTTGTGCAAGAAGAAATGCATATTGTTCGATAATCACCCTCTTTACTCTATACAAACCTCAGATTTTGACCAACTCAGAATACGGATACTCGTACACTTCTTTGATTTCGCGAGAGGCACACCGGCTAGGGAAGATTCTCTAAAAAAATTAGGTTTCAATTATTTTAAATCGTTTGAAGTCTGTAGGTCTCCTATTTACGAGTATATGGAAAAAGGAGACTTGTGAAATATATTTTCTCTTTTGCGTACCACCATCTATTTTTGTAAAGTCTACTTATTTTTGCAGTTCTGTTATATGCACTGATAAAAAGCAGCCATGAATCCAAAACAAACCTATAAAAATGCACGTTATCGAAAAAGCCAGATAACCTAGAGTATAAAAACTGGCCGCATCCCTTTTGAAGACAGATCTCGTACACTCGTCAAACATCAAGAAATTACCTCAGAAAATGAATCCAGCTGTGGTGGTCCTGCTTTCCGGCATGGTCGTTTTGGCCCAAGGAATGATCGTCGATCCTGTGACCGCCCCCATTGCCGTAACTGGAAGTTTTCGAGGACCGTTTGAGATTGAAAAGTTCAACAGGTAAGGTACAGTTTCATTCATATCAGAGCGCAGCACAGTGTTGCTGACGAAGCCGTTTAATTTTTTAGTGTGTATTGACACAATTTTGTTGAGTACGGTCAGGCCTATTTAAAGTGTCATCGGAGTACACAGCTATAAATATGTGAAATTTTCTAGAACTTTAATTAAATAATTTTATAAGAGATGTGAAATAAGATAGCACAATTGTAACACCACATCGAATGCATTTATTGTCTCATATGTTACTATTCATTGTTAGTATCTAAACTGTGTATTTTTCACACTTACTCGGTTCTTCCAAAATAATGAATTTCTGACAGCTTCAAATGGTTATTTACATTGGACCAGCAGGGTTGTTACGTATAAACCTATACAATGTCAAAAAAATCGATAAAATGTCAACTTATGTACTCAACTGGTAGTGTGTCGTGTCTACAAGTGAGCATGAAGTAAGTAATACAGCGACCGATCTCCTCAGCTTGAACCTAGGGAACATCATACTCGTATATGTCAACTTATTCGTATGGCAGTCTCTGAAACTCAAAACAGAAGGGGGGAGCATCTCCAAAGAACGATTCGCGGAAGCTCCACAAATGATATCTACTTCACTATGCCTGATATATTTTTTCTACTTGTATTTCAATGTCTTATCCATTGGAACGGAGTCTTCCACCAGCATTTGGGAATTCATCTAGATTTGGAAAACTACCAGGATTACTTTTTTGAAACCTTCATGCATATATTGCGAGATGCTTTTTTAAGTAATAGTTACTTAGCAATTCTTCGGGCTATATGAGGATTTTTTGCTACATTTCTGAGTTATGATTTTTTTTAAATTCTTGGGCGTACATCTCTCTCAAGGTTCATTACCCGAGGTGCTCTTTTATTCAGTCAAGTTATTAGACCAGGAAAGAGCTGTAATGGAGAAAAAACCTCAAATGAAGATATAACATAATTTGTTCATCCTAGGCCCTCTATCAGACAGAAAAATATTTATAGTTTTTACTAATTGATGTTGTTGCGATAGAGTAATCCTCAAAAAAAGATAATGATTAGTCCGTCTACAAGTTGGAAAGTATCACTGGATTTTGAGGAAGTCCTGAAAGGTCGGTCTAATAGTACCAGTAATATAACTAAAAACTCCATCAAGCTTGACTTCATCTATTTTTACGTTTCTGATAATTTAGGATATATTCAAAAATTTCTTTGGAGGAGAAAAGATTAAAAAAACTCAAACTTGTCTTTTTTTAAATATTTTAAGGCGTAGTCAAGAGTTTATTTGAAAGGAGTTTGGAACTCCAGCAAAAATCGTTTTTCAAATTCTAATCATCCAGTCACTTTTGTGGAACTCCAAAGACAACAAGAGGTGTCCAATTCAAAAATGTGTGGAGTTGAATCCGAGTTGAAAAGTCGAGAAACTGCTGTTGTCATATGTTATCTAGAAACGTCACAATACTTATTTCATCACGATTTTCATTCTTCAGAGCGTATGCAAGGATCACTCTCGAAGTAAAAAATTCCAGATAACTCTTTTATCAAACTTCAAAGTTACAAGTGTATAGAATAAGTGTAGAGGATAAATAGACCTTTAAAATGAGAACGAATAGTCATGTCTAGTCCGCTGCAACGGTTAATTGGTTATTCCAAAAATCTAGTAGCCATACGTTAAAGCCTTTGCAGTGACTAACATAAAAAAAATCATCAATCATGCACGGTGAGTTTTTAGTATGTAATTACTACAAAAAAAAATCATAAAAAGTTATTTACATAAATTGTACTCCTTACTTGCAAAATGTACCGCTCTGAGTATATTCTAATATGCCATTTCAAAGGACAAAGCTTTCATATCGCTAGGGTTATAGCATACCATACTAATTTCGGAAATGCTTCCTCTTTGTTGATATTTATTCTTTATTTTTCCACAATTGCTTGAAATTTCGTCATATAACCAAAAATAGTTTTATAGAATAAGTGGAAGAATATTTACCTAGTTTCTTCTAGAGTGACTTGAAACACAAATTTGTCATATTTTCACCATTGTGATCTCCGAAACGGTATGAGTTACAGGTCGCCTGTATAGTGGCATAGTTGCGTATTTTATAAAATTAATTTGAAAGGTTTGAACGCCTCGAGAATCTCCGGGGATACACGGAAAAGGTAACGAATTCTCCTATAACATGCCATATATTAATATTGTAGAACTATAACAATTTTAAAAAACGATTTTCCTGAAAAAGCCGTGAAATTATCATATAGTCATTTATTCCATAAAATGTAAAAGATGATAACACTTTACGGATTTCAACTAATTCTATCAATTTCCCATCTAATAGATCTTGATTCAGATTGTGGATAACCCTGTACATGAACAATTTAATTTTTATAAGAAAATGTCCTCTTCACTTAATATTTGCGTCGTTACATTTCTTGATTGATTGTCCATATTGCTCTTATAGTACGATTTATGGAAAATATCGTAGCCCATATTTGAAACCATTTTCGTGGCATTTGTTACGCCGATACGTTGACAATGCCCATCATACTGCACTCTTTCGTGAAGGTTTTACTTGGAATGCAATTATGAGATAACTTTGTCCCCCACTGACCAGCATTCATTATTTGAGGATTCCAAAATAATCCTTATTTGAACAGTAAATTCCGGGACTGAGTAATTTGTCTCTCAATTCCGTTAGTACGTTGTCAAATTTATCATATCGTCATAATGTGGATACATTTATAATTATTTACAGATTATGCATGTGTTATGTATGTGGAAGGAATGCAGGATGCTAGGCTTCGCCCCTTATAAAAGATATTCAGTATTATTCTCATATACTATGTACATCCTACAATACCTACTCTAAAAACGGTGACTATGCGAATTCTCGAAGTTTACTTACCTTCTTTCTTATAGATGTAGCGGCGGAATTTGCGTCACGACCACCTTGTCCGATTGCGTCGGTTTGAGTGTGCCGACATCTTTTTTCATATTCTATAACTATAGAACTGTATGTATTTCTGGCCAAGTGAATCTACATATTATGTACAAATTACTCTTCAGTGATCATTCGGCCTCTACATGGAGTTCTATCAGCATGAAAACTACAGTACAAGCTTCTTCTGTTACATATTTCATCTCATTAAAGCAACATCATAGCCCCAACCCATCTCAAATCTCATACATATCCTGACGACCTCGTATATGTTTGTGTATCCTCCTTTTATCAGCGGTTGCTGACATTACGTGCAAACAAAAATGTCAAAGCACAGACACACCATACAGACCAACACACACACAGACCTACGAACATGCCAAATTTATAAATTTTCGCTGCCAGAATCTTGTCGCAATACTTCCCACGTTTATGCGTGTGACATAAAAACTCGAACACCACATATTATTTTTTGACAAATTTACTAATTATTTTTACTTTTTTTGTAAGATGTTTCGGTGGAGTTTGCATTCCTGACGCTCTATCCTGCATCGGTGGAGACTGTGACATGCTGACTGGAGATGTAATCAAGAAGGCATTATTTGTAGATGTGAGTTGCCATTTCTTCCCATTTTAATCTTTATATATGACATTAGTCTCTCTTATGAGATTCATACATATACATGTGTGTTTATAATTCCAAATTATGAGCCTTGGTATAAATAACGTCCAGCAAAGTGGAAGAAATTTATATAAGAAGCTAGTAATCAAATCTTACATAAGCTGCAGCTTTAAGACGACGATGATGAACCGCGATCTAAGATCATTCAGGAATCAAAGTTTGGTTGATCAAAAACAATCTAAAACGATTTTGAAACCCCATCATTCAGTTCTTTTTAGTCTGTTGAAGAAAGGCCAATGCATAGCAGGTAGGAACTGAAAAAAAATTAATTGCTAAAAATGTTTGTACAGGTCGCCAGGAAACTACAAAAAGCTAAACTGCTCGAACAGATGAATGCTGAGATCAACCTGGATACTGACAAAGGTTTGTGGTACACGATTGACTCGACCAGAGACAAAGTTTGCGGACCTAGAGGCTGCGTCTTCACTGGAAACCCTATAATTAAGTCTTTAATTGGTGGTGCTTTTTAGAATTGTGAACTTTCAGTTGGCTTATTAATCATTTGTTAATACTATCCAGGTCTTTTGAATAAAGGTGCTGGATTTATAACAATTATTTTCTCATTCATCACATTATGTTGAAGAAAAAAGACAAGGAAATAGTTATAGCATTACTGATTTAGGGAGTATGGGCTAATCCAAAGGCATCGTGATCAGAAAGGCTGTTTTCCTGTAACTTTCTGGAGCCTCTTCTGGGGCTTTTAGGGCACATATCAACTGATCCATAAGTGGATCTAATTGATCATTTCCGTCCAGTACGAAGAACAATGCAGCTAAGTGTTATCTCCATAAAACTGGCTAAGCCGCATCTTCTGTGGCACATGGCACTGTCTTGCTGAAACTACAGTTTCTTCACTTTTAGTCTGTTTACCCGAGAAACGAAACAGTTGTCAATCGTGCATCTGTAGCTCACCGTAAAATTTTGACCTGATCTATTTTTTGAAGAAATATAATAATTATAATAATTTATTGGTGTTAATGCACGTGATATGCTTATATAGGTCAGAGCTAAATATAAATTGCGTTCGCGGGTCAAAAAATGAACCAGTTCGGAACTAATACTGAACCATCCAGAATTACACAAATGCTCATGTCCGGTTATTTTCTTGTTCGAGATTTTCGTTTTCCGCGAACGACTTTGGAACCGTTTGCGGATTCTACACCGTTGCCAATTTGCCCTCTATTGTGTGCTGTTACCAAGTTGCTATTTGATTGACACTATTGACAGCTTCCAGGTGTTACAGACCACATTTGACATTTGTACTTTGCTATTTTATTTTCTAAAATTTCTTATAACAAAAAGCAAATAATGACTCATCCAGCAAGAGGTATATTTAGTAAGTATTTATAAGTTCGTTTTTGAACTGACTACAAAATAATTTTTTTCAGAGGAACTTTGTGAATTTTTTACTTTCTCGTCACTTGTAGAAGCGAGTCATTATTGGACTCATGAAAACACTTTGATATTGTTAGATTTATACAGAAAATATAAGAATCAAGTAGGATCGCTAAGAATGAAGAATTTAAAAAAAAATGTTTGAGGAAATTGCTAAAGAAATTACTCAGACCACTAATATTCGCATTTCAGCAAGTGATTGCGAAAATCGCTGGAAAGTGCTAGAAAGGAATTATAAAAAATTTATTGATAATAACCAACAAACAGGCAGGGGTCGAAAAGTGTTCGAATATGCCGATATAATGGTTGACATAATGGGAAAGAAAAAAATATTAACCCCGTATTGCTACTAGATTCTGAGACCATTCATGTACTAAAAATTTTGGAAGAAACAGAAGGGATGGCAGAATCCAACAATGAAAATGTGGAAGCGGAACCTTTGCCATCAAAGCAAGCACTACCCAAAAGAAAACATGTGTTGGTGAGAAGCGGGGCACAAAGCAAAAGGCTAAAAGCCGTTGTTTTGCAAGAAATCAGAAACGATCGTAGAGCTTTTTACAAAAGACGATTGGAAATAGAAGAAAGAAAAATTAGAAGAAAAAAGAAAAATAAATGCTGTATTAGAAAAACATAATGTCTTATTGGAGTGATTTTTGCAAGCTAACAGTTACTCCCCCGTTGTTGACATGGCACCCTGATAAGATTTTTTTTATTAACTATTTATCTCATTTGTTTTTTGTATTTATTTTTTTATATATGAATAATATATATGAAAATGATGCCCTCATTTCATTTTATCGCTCCAAATTATACATTAACAAATTGTTTCTAAAATGCTTCGCTAAGGAAATACAGTGTGGTGGTCATTTATAGGATGATTTTTTATTTGTTAATATTATGATAATAATTTAACACCCTGTATTTCCTTAAGCGTTTTAGACAAAAATGTTATGATCTGCCCCCATTATTTTGATGTTCCTTAAAAAGCTAGTATATTTATTAATACCTCAAGAAAAATTGTATTAAGCCACAAAGCAAACTTCACAGGATAGCAAGAATGAAGAATCTCTTTTGCTATTTTATATCTTGCACTGGATAATTTACACTTGAATTAAAAGAATAACTCATCAGTTTTTACATAATAATCATCGTTCTTTGCAAATAGCAAGAGTTTTTAAAAACAGACATTTTTCAGGAATAATGGATGTACTACTTCTAGACTTCCATACACTTCTTTCTGTGGTGTGGAATGTTAATTCATCAGTTAATAAAACGATATGGTATGATCATTTTATTTGTTGTTGAATGCACAGAATACTTACAAAAGTCAAATATATAATATATGAAGGAATACAAGAAAAAATTAAATAAAACCTACACAATATTCACCAAAAAACTGACACAGTTTTAACAAAATACATGTTACCAATTTTAAACAGATTAAAAGACATTAAGTAATATCAAATCAATACATATATTGACAAAAAGCAAAGGTAGAAGATATTAAAGAATTGTAAGTTCATCGTACATAAACTTGCCATTCATTACCAATAAATATAACAAGAAAATCACAGGATACCTTTCTGAAGTTATATTGAAATCCATTACATAACCAATGGCAAGCTATTCATTACTTCTTCTCTCACTCTCTGAGCATCTCTATCATCACTACCAGGCTGAATATCCTCATTTGAAAATATGTGCTGTCTAGGGACATTTGGATGCTCTGGGGCTTGTTCAACATTAAAAGAAACAGAAAGAAATAAATTATGTAAAACAGCACAAGCTCTTATGAAATGAACCATGAAGGCCACATCCCTAAATTTTAGGATCACCACCAACTATATCAATAGTTGACGAAATTTTTGTTTTAAGATATCAAAACAGTGGTCTATGATATATCGATTAGAGGAAAGTATGTAGTTATATTTTTTTTGTCGTCTTGTTAAATGACCATTATCTCTGAATGGAGTCAATAAATATCTCAAGCAAGGATAACCACTGTCACCTAATATGCAATACTGTCCACATTTATCAGGCAGAGCGATACGTATTTCTGCTGGTTGGCTTCATCAGGTCCGAAATGAATGCACATATGAAACTACAAAAGTAGATACACATGCCCACACATCCGGATACGGGTGTAACCTGAGTAAACGAAGTTGGAGGGGAAAAAAACGACACACGAAGTCCACAACAAGAGCCAACCTACACATTGTAGTATAAAATGGCTATACGACCTCGAATTTTCAAGGAGACGTCTAACCACCACCACGCGGCCGGTTATAGCCACTTGCTGTGGTACTTCAAGCCCAAAGGATCTACAAAGAGAATATGATCATGCGGAGAAAGGTATATAACAACAAGTGGGAAAATAATGGGCAAAATCCGCAAAAAGGAGGAAAGTGGATTCGAGCAGAAAATAGGATAGGTAACCCGAGCGATACGTATTTCTGCTGGTTGGCTTCATCAGGCCCGAAATGAATGCACATATGAAACTACAAAAGTAGATACACATGCCCACACATCCGGATACGGGTGTAACCTGAGGAAACGAAGTTGGAATAATGGATGTACTACTTCTAGACTTCCATACACTTCTTTCTGTGGTGTGGAATGTTAATTCATCAGTTAATAAAACGATATGGTATGATCATTTTATTTGTTGTTGAATGTACAGAATACTTACAAAAGTCAAATATATAATATATGAAGGAATACAAGAAAGGTTATTAAATAAAACCTACACAATATTCACCAAAAAACTGACACAATTTTAACAAAATACATGTTACCAATTTTAAACAGATTAAAAGACATTAAGTAATATCAAATCAATACATACATCGACAACAAGCAAAGGTAGAAGATATTAAAGAATTGTAAGTTCATCGTACATAAACTTGCCATTCATTACAAATAAATATAACAAGAAAATCACAGGATACCTTTCTGAAGTTATATTGAAATTCATTACATAACCAATGGCAAGCTATTCATTACTTCTTCTCTCACTCTCTGAGCATCTCTATCATCACTATCAGGCTGAATATCCTCTTTTGAAAATATGTGCATTTGGATGCTCTGGGGCTTGTTTAACATTAAAAGAAACAGAAAGAGATAAATTATGTAAAACAGCACAAGCTCTTATGAAACGAACCATGAAGGCCACATCCCTAAATTTTAGGATCACCACCAACTATATCAATAGTTGACAAAATGTTTGTTTTAAGATATCAAAACAGTGTTCTATGATATATCGATTAGAGGAAAGTATGTAGTTATATTTTTTTGTCGTCTTGTTAAATGACCATAATCTCTGAATGGAGTCAATAAATCTCTCAAGCAAGGATAACCACTGTCACCTAATATGCAATACTGTCCACATTTATCAGGCAGGTTTGCATGTAGAGGCGATGTTCTCAAAACTCTGCTGTCATGAACCGAGCCAGGGTAACCCACAAAAATGTCTCGGATTCTTCGATTGTGGTCACATACTACTTGAGCCTGAAACAGAATCACAATATGTTTCATGTATATATATAACAACAAGTGGAAAAATAATGGGCAAAATCCGCAAAAAGGAGGAAAGTGGATTCGAGCAGAAAATAGGATAGGTAACCCGAGCGATACGTATTTCTGCTGGTTGGCTTCATCAGGCCCGATCACGATTTTAATGATTCTGTGATGTTTAATAGTTTGACTTCTTTCAAGTATTGAATGAATGCATTTTTTGATGGGTTGTATATGTGTCAGAGTTAGTCTTGACATAAATGATTCAGTAATAAATGTAAGCACAAGGCAAGGTCATGTTCTTTGTTTTACAAATTCTTCTGTACAGGGATCTCTGTACTTCAGGCTTGCTATGTACCTAACATACCTCCTCTATACAGCAAAAACTCTATACATATGTGGTGTATGACCCCATGCTAGGGTAGCTTATGCCATTTTACTCTAAAAATATGTAAGGTAACTGGATAAGAATATTTTTTGGAATCTAGAATTTTTAAGATTACAAATTAAATAAATAATTTTTGTTGATGATTTACTAGCACAATGTGTTCATCTCAGCTTAAAGTAGCATTTACGTAATTACCAAAAAGCTTTGCTGTCTCCACATGGTGATTACCAACATCATGATTCCATAGAGTAAT